ACTGACTAGAACTGAACTAGAACTGAACTAGAACTGACTAGAACTAGAACTGAACTAGAAATGAACTAGAACTGAACTAGAACTGACTAGAACTGAACTAGAACCTGAACTACTGAACCGAACTGAACTACTAGAACTGAACTAGACTGAACTAGAACTGAACTAGAACTGAACTAGAACTGAACTAGAACTGACTAGAACTGAACTAGAACTGAACTAGAACTAGAACGAACTAGAACTGAACTAGAACTGAACTAGACTGAACTAGAACTGACTAGAACTGAACTAGAACTGAACTAGAACTGAAACTAGAACTGAACTAGAACTGAACTAGAACTGAACTAGAACGTGAACTAGAACTGAACTAGAACTGAACTAGAACTGAACTAGACTGAACTAGAACTGAACTAGAACACTAGAACTGAACTAGAAACTGAACTAGAACTTGAACTAGAACTGAACTAGAACTGAACTAGAACTGAACAGAACTGAACTAGAACTGAACTAGATAGACTGAACTATGAACTGAACTAGAACTGAACTAGAACTGAACTAGAACTGAACTAGAACTGAACTAGAACTGAACTAGAACTGAACAGAAACTGAACTAGAACTGAACTAGAACTGAACTAGAACTGAACTAGAACTGAACTAGAACTGAACTAGAACTGAACTAGAACTGAACTAGAACTGAACTAGAACTGAACTAGAACTGAACTAGAACTGAACTAGAACTGAACTAGAACTGAACTAGAACTGAACTAGAACTGAACTAGAACTGAACTAGAACTGAACTAGAACTGAACTAGAACTGAACTAGAACTGAACTAGAACTGAACTAGAACTGAACTAGAACTGAACTAGAACTGAACTAGAACTGAACTAGAACTGAACTAGAACAGAACTAGAACAGAACTAGAACTGAACTAGAACTGAACTAGAACTGAACTAGAACTGAACTAGAACTGAACTAGAACTGAACTAGAACTGAACTAGAACTGAACTAGAACTAGAACTGAACTAGAACTAGAACTGAACTAGAACTGAACTAGAACTGAACTAGAACTGAACTAGAACTGAACTAGAACTGAACTAGAACTGAACTAGAACTGAACTAGAACTGAACTAGAACTGAACTAGAACTGAACTAGAACTGAACTAGAACTGAACTAGAACTGAACTAGAACTGAACTAGAACTGAAGTAGAACTGAACTAAGAACTGAACTAGAACTGAACTAGAACTGAACTAGAACTGAACTAGAACTGAACTAGAACTGAACTAGACTGAACTAGAACTGAACTAGAACTGAACTAGAACTGAACTAGAACTGAACTACTAGAACTGAACTAGAACTGAACTAGAAATGAACTAGAACTGAACTAGACTGAACTAGAACTGAACTAGAACTGACTAGAACTGAACTAGAACTGAACTAGAACTGAACTAGAACTGAACTAGAACTGAACTAGAACTGAACTAGAACTGAACTAGAACTGAACTAGAACTGAACTAGAACTGAACTAGAACTGAACTAGAACTGAACTAGAACTGAACTAGAACTGAACTAGAAACTGAACTAGAACTGAACTAGAACTGACTAGAACTGAACTAGAACTGAACTAGAACTGAACTAGAACTGAACTAGAATGACTAGAACTGAACTAGAACTGAACTAGAACTGAACTAGAACTGAAACTAGAACTGAACTAGAACTGAACTAGAACTGAACTAGAACTGAACTAGAACTGAACTAGAACTGAACTAGAACTGAACTAGAACTGAACTAGAACTGAACTAGAACTGAACTAGAACTGAACTAGAACTGAACTAGAACTGAACTAGAACTGAACTAGAACTGAACTAGAACTGAACTAGAACTGAACTAGAACTGAACTAGAACTGAACTAGAACTGAACTAGAACTGAACTAGAACTGAACTAGAACTGAACTAGAACTGAACTAGAACTGAACTAGAACTGAACTAGAACTGAACTAGAACTGAACTAGAACTGAACTAGAACTGAACTAGAACTGAACTAGAACTGAACTAGAACTGAACTAGAACTGAACTAGAACTGAACTAGAACTGAACTAGAACTGAACTAGAACTGAACTAGAACTGAACTAGAACTGAACTAGAACTGAACTAGAACTGAACTAGAACTGAACTAGAACTGAACTAGAACTGAACTAGAACTGAACTAGAACTGAACTAGAACTGAACTAGAACTAAACTAGAACTAAACTAGAACTGAACTAGAACTGAACTAGAACTGAACTAGAACTGAACTAGAACTGAACTAGAACTGAACTAGAACTGAACTAGAACTGAACTAGAACTGAACTAGAACTGAACTAGAACTGAACTAGAACTGAACTAGAACTGAACTAGAACTGAACTAGAACTGAACTAGAACTGAACTAGAACTGAACTAGAACTGAACTAGAACTGAACTAGAACTGAACTAGAACTGAACTAGAACTGAACTAGAACTGAACTAGAACTGAACTAGAACTGAACTAGAACTGAACTAGAACTGAACTAGAACTGAACTAGAACTAAACTAGAACTGAACTAGAACTGAACTAGAACTGAACTAGAACTGAACTAGAACTGAACTAGAACTGAACTAGAACTGAACTAGAACTGAACTAGAACTGAACTAGAACTGAACTAGAACTGAACTAGAACTGAACTATAACGAACTAGAACCGAACTAGAATTGAACTAGAATGAACTAGAACTGAACTAGAACTGAACTAGAACTGAACTAGAACTGAACTAGAACTGAACTAGAACTGAACTAGAACTGAACTAGAACTGAACTAGAACTGAACTAGAACTGAACTAGAACTGAACTAGAGCTGAACTAGAGCTGAACTAGAACTGAACTGAACTAGAACTGAACTAGAACTGAACTAGAACTGAACTAGAACTGAACTAGAACTGAACTAGAACTGAACTAGAACTGAACTAGAACTGAACTAGAACTGAACTAGAACTGAACTAGAACTGAACTAGAACTGAACTAGAACTGAACTAGAACTGAACTAGAACTGAACTAGAACTGAACTAGAACTGAACTAGAACTGAACTAGAACTGAACTAGAACTGAACTAGAACTGAACTAGAACTGAACTAGAACTGAACTAGAACTGAACTAGAACTGAACTAGAACTGAACTATAACGAACTAGAACGAACTAGAATTGAACTAGAACTGAACTAGAACTGAACTAGAACTGAACTAGAACTGAACTAGAACTGAACTAGAACTGAACTAGAACTGAACTAGAACTGAACTAGAACTGAACTAGCTGAACTAGAGCTGAACTAGAACTGAACTGAACTAGAACTGAACTAGAACTGAACTAGAACTGAACTAGAACTGAACTAGAACTGAACTAGAACTGAACTAGAACTGAACTAGAACTGAACTAGAACTAAACTAGAACTAAACTAGAACTGAACTAGAACTGAACTAGAACTGAACTAGAACTGAACTAGAACTGAACTAGAACTGAACTAGAACTGAACTAGAACTGAACTAGAACTGAACTAGAACTGAACTAGAACTGAACTAGAACTGAACTAGAACTGAACTAGAACTGAACTAGAACTGAACTATAACGAACTAGAACGAACTAGAACTGAACTAGAATTGAACTAGAACTGAACTAGAACTGAACTAGAACTGAACTAGAACTGAACTAGAACTGAACTAGAACTGAACTAGAACTGAACTAGAACTGAACTAGAACTGAACTAGAACTGAACTAGACTGAACTAGACTGAACTAGAACTGAACTGAACTAGAACTGAACTAGAACTGAACTAGAACTGAACTAGAACTGAACTAGAACTGAACTAGAACTGAACTAGAACTGAACTAGAACTGAACTAGAACTGAACTAGAACTGAACTAGAACTGAACTAGAACTGAACTAGAACTGAACTAGAACTGAACTAGAACTGAACTAGAACTGAACTAGAACTGAACTAGAACTGAACTAGAACTGAACTAGAACTGAACTAGAACTGAACTAGAACTGAACTAGAACTGAGGCTTGAACTGAACTAAAACTGAACTAGAACTGAACTAGAATTGCTCTAAAATTGCCCGAGTTCAATAGCAAATTACATTCCAATATGATTCAACCTTTGTCTAAAAACTCTGCAAAAATAAGCCTTATTAAAGGTTATCTATTAACTGACTAGCAATATCCCTTCTAAGCAATTGCATCAAATTATCAAAGCTTATACTTACCCATGTAGTAGTAAGTCTAAGTGTGTATTTTAATATCAAAATTTTTTTAATCCAAAAATGTTTAATTTCCTTATATTTATCTATTGAAAGTTTCACATCACATTAAAGATGATTATTCTTTCTGCTTATCATGCATGAGAGATCTCAATGTTATAAAACTATAGTTAAAGCAAATTACATATGTTTACTATCTACAGTTTTTACTTTCAATTCTACAACTCTAAATAAAACTACAGATAATTAAGTTTTTCAATGATATTTTCTTTTTAATTTTTATTTAAATTTTTTTATAGTATTTTTCAAATTTACCTTTCAATATCATATACTACATTTACAGTGCCATTATTTTATTAATTAGCAATTTTTTTTATTTATTTATAGTTTTTAGTTGTTTTTTTCTCTTACTAAATTTTCATTTTAGCTTTTAGTTTTATTTTAAATTGTAAGGTTTTTTTTTTACAAATAACAGCCTTATTATTTAAATATTTTTTAAAGTATTTTATTATGTTAATATTTATACTACAAAAAAATATTTATGTCTGTTTGGGTTTCATATAATATTTTAATTCTTCTGTTGTTGTTGCTTTTGTCATATTGTATTTTACACATTTTTTTTTAAATTATTTGTTTTGTTCGGTGTAGTATTTATGTGTAATTTGCCCAGTTTGTTTTTATCATAAATTTATTTATATTATATTATTTTGTTTTTTTTTTTCATAGTATATCAACAAAATCCTTGTTTTATTTATATAATTTTTAATTAAATTTTTATTCCTTCATTATTTACTAGTTCGCTGCTAATTTAGTCTCTATTTATTTATAATTAACTGATTTTTTTTGTTATTAAGTTAATTATTTATTATTTTTTTTTGTTTGTTTATTATAATAGGTTATAGTTATTTTTGTTAGTATTTACATTGTTCATTATACAAAAATTTATTTTTATTACAGGTCGTTACAGGCAGAGAGAGATTAAAGGAAAATATATATATGTACGTATGTGTATGAATAGGGAATGTAAAGTTTTTTGTATGTTAGATTTTCATATACATATGTATATAGAAGATATTCTTGATTTTAATTAAGTTTTACCCTTACATGATGTACACTGTACATTTCATATTTAAAGATTTATATTATAATTTCTTTATGTTTCACTTGATTTTATAAGAACCAAACATAGCACAAGAGTACAAACCGGCTTTCTCACAAACTTAAAACTAGTTGTAACAAAGTTCTCAACAAACAAACATCATAGTTTGGTATAATTAAAGACTGAGAAATTGTAGTAATTTCTCTTCTTTGGTAACTTGGTCCTATGCATTTGCTTTTGAATTGTACACCAGACATCGGTATATAATGATATTAGTTATGTCCGTCCGTCTGTTCGTCCATATAAATCATATATTAAAACTATAGTTCGCGATTATGAAAATAACACAGGCCGATGATACCAAGTTAGAAAACGCAATTTTTTCTCATTTTTTGAGAGTTCGTAACAGCGCCATGATAACTTTATTTGTAAATTGTTATATTCTATCTGAATATACTACTGTACTGTGGAGGGTATTATCCCAGTAAAAACTTTCATTACCATGTAAGGGGTTAAAATGCTAAAATTTACTTACGCAATACCATTTTAAGTCATTATTTTAACACAGTGATGTCATTGGAGGCAATTAATTATTACAAATGATTACAAGTAATTAGAAAAAGTAGTCATTGTAAATCGCTTAAAAAAAATTATATACTATATCTTTACTGGCAAGATTAATTGATGAATTAGAAAGTGTTTTATATAATACATTATTAGTAAGACCTTACTAGACTACTTCTATGTAATCCAGACGATATGTAGTAGTCATTGAAAAGTATGTTGTTAAGTAAGTATTTGCAAATGAAAGCCATTACCTAGTTTTTGAGGTTATGTAAGGGGTTAAAATGCTAAAATTTACTTACACAATAGCATTTTAAGTCATTATTTTAACACGGTGATGTCATTAAAGGCAATTACCTACTATAAACGATTACAAGTAGTTTTAAAAAGTTGTCATTGTTAATCGCACGAAAAAAAAAAAACGTTACAGCTGCTATATCTTCACTGGCAAGATTACTAATGAATTAGAAAGTATTTATATAACACATTATTAGTAAGACCTTATTGTAATCCAGCCGATATGTAGTAGCCATTAAAAAGTATGTTGTTAGTTAAGTAATTACAATTGAAAGCCAATACCTAATGTTTGCTGGGATGATTTTAAATTTTGTTTATAACAGGCAAAAATATATGATCCAAACCTATCTGACGATGTTCCAATTGACTCATAATCACTTTCTGATTCGACTAAACGATGGCTGTCTGTAAGTCAGATTTTAAAACAATTCAAAAAATATTTCCATAGAAAAAATGTGAAAAATTGGAATGTATAAGGTTTTTTTTTTTTGTAAAATGAAAGCAACATTTATGAAAAATACAGTTTTTAACAGTTTATTGTTATATCAAACTTCTAAGAGGAAATAACATGTTAAAGTTGTCTTCGCGCAGTTATAACTTCTCAAAAAGCGCCAAAAGTTGCGCTTTTTCAAACTTCAGTATACGATATCTCAAATCCCAGATGTAATGGAGAAATTCTGAAGCCAGTATAGAAAAGTACACATTGGTCTTTTAATTCAATAATTATTCAACGAAATTGTACATATTCTATTGTCTCAGGGAGAATGCCTATTGAAAATGTTTAAAATCTTTATCTATCGTTGAATAATCGAATTTTCACACTAATATTAAAAAGAATTTTAAGATAAAACATTTTATCCAATGCTTGATATCTTGTATACATTAAAATTTTAAACCAGGTATCGACAGAGAGTGAAGATGAACTACCTCGCTCTTGATTGTTAACTTGCAGTAATACATTATTATTTAAATTATAAGGAGACATCTACAAATGAAATTACTACTACTAAGTTATCAAGCAACTAAATGTTGTTGTTTTTAATTATTGAGAGTTATGGTTATCTGGAGTCACTCGGAAACCCACATAATTAGCTATATTAATAGGATTCCACTCCATAGATTACAAAAAGAGACAGTCAGAAAGCTACTTCAAAAGAGTCAATACGTGACAGTTAAGTTATTTAGAGTCTACTCTCTAAAATGATATCTGTCTCCGATCTCAAAGAGTTACAAAGAGTTCGTGACGAAAAACGTATTGGACCCGACCAGACATTAGCAGAAATTAAAGAGACGACTGTCTTGGCTTTTCATTCGCAGAGATTTAAAGAATTAAACTAGTCCTCGGCAAAGAGCGAAAGATGATTTGACTGTTATTTTTTTTTGAATGTGTGAGTTTATGGACTTAGAAAAATAAGAGATCTGTTTGCCTATGTATGTTGTAAAATCACTTTTGTTTGTTTAGCTTGACTAGTTCTTATATTATTTTTCCTCACACTCTCGTCGTATTATCATGACTTAATAAGTGGAAAAGAAATCGAATCTTTGGAATTTTTTTTTCCACAGAAATCATAAATGATCAGAACATTATAAATTAATAAATTGAATATTTTATAGTTAAATGCAAATGTTTCCTCATTTGGAGATAAAATGGAAAGTAAAATGCTCTTGTGGTAATATTTATAAAAGAGTTTATATAATTTCCATAAAATACTGGTACCATGCTTGACTGTCTGATAGTCTATATAGACTTTGAAATTAAAGAGCAGTTAGACATTTTGAAGTTTAAGAATGTTTGATAAGGAAGAATTATTTACATAACATATAAATATTCATGGAATATGGATTTAATGGCTAAATCATGACGATGTTCATTATGAGCTTTTATGTAAACTTAACTTTTCAAGTTTCTAATCGTAAAACTGAAAAATCTCACGAGTCTTATTAAAAGGCATTTTTTCGCATAATTAGAATGCCGATATGTCTTTAAAATTCCATGTACTTTTCTTAGTTAAAAAAAAATATTTTTGGAAATTTTGATCGGATCCATAAATTGTCTAACAAATCCACTATATATACATATTGACCCCATTTGTGCCTTACTTTGAAATACAAGTTGAAGCTGAAAAATCTGTTGAAAGATTTTGAACTGTCCAAAATTCTATGTAAATCGAATGGCTTGAGTTTATTATTCTCGACCCCTGTTGACTATAGGTGACGTCCATTAAAAATTTTCACCATTTGATTTTTCGTACAAAAAACTTAACATTCTCTATTTTTTTCTCTTTTATCAAACCCTTAGACTCCTTTCAAGACGGAGTTTTTAACTGACAGATGAGCACTATGAAATTCCTTTTTTCGTTATTATTATTATTATTCATATTTTTAATCACAATTATACTGTACATAGTTTAATTTTATATGTATTTGATAATACGACTTGATTTTGCTATATTTCATTTCAAGTAATTTTCGATTATTTTACAAATTACAATACAAGCTTTAAAAAAAGTGTATTTTGGAAATTTTTAGCATATTTTTATTGATTTTTTTGTTGTTGTTGGTTTTATTTAAACTTACACATTGGCTGAGGGACCAAAACTACTAAAATACTTATTATTATGACTAGACATTAAATTATCGCTAGCGGTGGTGTTGATGGAGTTAATAATGGTGGAGGAATTTATATTTGAGCTACTACTGCTGCTGTTATTGCTGCTATTAGACACTTGATTAGGGTTACTGGTATTATTATATAGACTAGTTAATTGGGAGGAGGAGACTGTGGAGGAGGAGGAATTGGAGGAAGTGTTGTTGCTGGAGTTGGAATTTAAATGACTAGGGGAAGGTTGTAAAAGTTTATCACCTGCCGCATGAGCATATGAAGGTGGTGGCTGTTGTTGTTGTTGTTGCTGCTGCTGTTGTTGTTGCCTAAAAGCTTGATAGGCATCCGAGGAAACAGCAGACCAAGTACCATCTTTGGATTTTATATACAAATGTTGTTTATTGGGCTGTTTTGTGCCAAAATTATAGTCTGTAGCAGCTATTGAGGAATTTGAAGCCCAATCGTTGAGCAATTGATTGGTGGAGTTACTTATGGCACCAAAATCATTATCATTAAAATGATCAGTATGCGAACTGGTGAGAAAATCTAAATGTGATCCTGTATTATTATGATTTGTTGAAGCTGCAGCAGCGGGATTCGTTGTGGTTGTTGTCTTATTATTATAGAGACTACCAAAATTTATGTTATTTTCACTTTTGAATACCTTGTTGTTGCGTGGCCGACGCAAAGTACCCGCTCCACCACCACTTATCATTTGGGTGGCTAAGGTGGTATTGGCATAAGCCCCCAGTCCCTGTTTCAAGGCATTACTGGCAACTAGTAATTGTTGCTGTTGTTGTTGCTGCTGCTGTTGTTGTTGTCGTTGACTTTGTGATTGCATACTATTAGAATTGAAGGGATTTAAACGTGTAGGCTGCAAGGGTTCATTATTCATCAAGTCAAAACGATTCTCGGTAATGTTGATTTTATTTGCACTCAAAGCCGTACCAGTACTATTTAAATTTGTCATTGATTTTTTTGTTGTTTGATGTGGTTGTGTTTTAGCTGGCGAAGAGCTAAGTATGGCTGTAGAAGCCGTACTAGCTGTCATTTTATCCGGCAATGTTAACATATTGTTGCCAAAGGGATTGTTGTCCATATTACCAAACCCTATGACACCACCACCACTGCCGCCAATACTACCACAACCACTGCCCATAGAATAATGTTGACTGGGTGGCGCTGAATAGAGACCAGATGAAATACTGCCCATTGTTGAACGATAGTCATCGTTGTTAATGTTATTGCGTGTTACTGCTGTTGTGGAGTTCGTTGATGGTGATGATGAGGACATTGTTGATAATTTTTGTTCATTTCCTGAGCGTAAAGCACTCTCTAAATTATCACCACCTCCATGTTGTTGTTGCTGCTGCATTGTTTTAATCGTTGAACTTGTTGTCGTATTATTTCCATTTCCGCTTGCATAACGTTGCGACTGCTGTTGCTGTTGTTGTTGTTGTTGCTGATGATTCTGATATAATTTTGCATTTGCTACAAGATTTGTTGTTGCATATGCACCACAACTATCATACAATGATTGTTGCTGTTGTAATCCATTGTTTGCGGTCTGACCATGTGCTGTTCCGTTTGGAGTTTTAAATGTTGAACATGCAACTTCAGCATAATCAGGCATATTAAGTGGTGTTAGTCTAAAATGTTTAAAATACAAACACAAAAAGGACAATGACAATATTAAAATGAAAGTAAATAAATGTGGAAAATGTTAAATGGCGTAAAAATATAGTTAGCTATGTATTAGACGTTAGTGTTTAAAATTTTGATTATTATGTAATTTTCTAAAGTTACTATGACTTTACTGCAGCTTTAACTGCAGGTTTTAACGGGAAAGTTTAGTATTTCCTTGTACATGTTTAAATGTTCAGTGAATAACTTTATTGATATTTTATACTATATTACAAAATTATTCCTTTTATTAATGAAACGAATTTCCTTATCTCATTTCTAAGTTTAAAAAAATTTAAACTTTGTTCCCTGGTAACTAGTCATACATACGCCAGGGATGGAAAGTCGATCTTTTAAATCCATAAGACCATTATGGAAAGGCTATAAGAGTTTTAAACTAATTCGATTTAGCAATGTCCGTCCATCCATTACAATTTGAATGTTAACTCCACATTAATGGAGGAAAGTTTGTAGTTTGTTATATAGGCTTGTTCTTAGAATCTTATCAAAATATAGTTTCAAAAATAAACTAAATTAAGTCTTAAGTTTCCCAACTCTGTATTACGCATAAAACAAAAAGCAGACAAGTTATTATACACCACAACTTACTTTCCAAAAAAAGCAACCAACCTACACATTTATTTAACATATTTTCAGGGTATTTTCATAAGCTTTTGTTACAAAATTCAACTAATTAAAAACCACTTTAGCGAAATAACTCACAAGTACTCCAACAACACAATATTTCAAGAGAGTTTCTTAGCAAAACTCAAAAAATATTTATAGATATAACAAAAAAACTAAAGGTAAAGGTAGATGTAAAAGTAGAAACAAAATATTTATATCTTCATCCAGCCAGTATAAGAACTCACTTAATTAAGAAAATTATGCCAAAAAAATAAAAGCAACCAAATACGAAGAAGTAAAACAAAAAGTATACAAAGAAAATGAAAATGTTTTTCTACAACAGTTTTATATCTTCCAAGTTGAGAAAAAATATTTGTAAATACTCATAAAAAATAAGCAAATTAAAATATACACAACCACAACTTTTAAAAGCTACAACCAGTTACCTGGGATATAAAAAAAAATATATATATATAAAAAGTATCTTAATGAAAAATCAAATTTCAAGAGGGTTTGTTACGCATTTTGTAGCTAAGTTCTTCCATAAAATAATGTTCTTTATGGAACTTAATGTGGCATAATAAAAACAAAAACAATACAATAATAATAACAAAAAATATTTGTTATTATTATATTTTCTACAATTTCTTAGGATATTTAAAAGGAATGTTTAAATGGAAATAATATTACAATCAAAACAACTGTTTCACTTCTTTATTTAAAAATTATTTTTAGATCATAAAATAGGGTTTGAAAACATTTAAATATCAGTTGTAGATAAAAAGTATATTCTTTACATAAATATTATGTTTTTAGGTTCGTTGCAAACGCCTACGATGGATTTAGAGGTTTTGTCAGTATAGAAAATGGACAATATCAACTTAAACGAAATTAGACGAAATTTTCTAAAAATATTGCTCTACAAATGCTTAATAGGAAATAAACAAGAATCCAAATCTTTATTCTTATACCCACCATAAAAAAGATAAAATCTTGCACAAATATTCTCCAATGATAAGGTTTGAGGGATATTGAAAATTATGTCGATATGTTCGCGTAGCCCTTATACAAAAGGTCCCTCGAAATACATTTTAAAGCGTCAGAAATTAGTTAATAATACAGCAACGGTGATAAATTTTTGCTAAATGTTGTAATATATGGTGGACAAGTTACCGCCCACATAAGGTCCCCTACAAAAAATGACTTTAACGCACACAACTGGGTTAATAATATCATAATAACGGCGAAATTCGACATACACAAGTGTTTTAGAAAAAAAAATCTGACCATAATTGTCGCCATCTCCCATTTTAAGGTCCCTTTCAGAAAAAGACTTTAACGCTCATAACTGACTCAGTAATAGCAGATTAGAGAAGACGTTTTATAGTAACAAAAATCTCGCTAATAACACTCATGGGGATCGGCTCCTACTTGACCCTATTCACCCACAACGCTATGGTCCCTATGAGCCGTATGAGGGAAACCTCGTTAAAGTGGGAGATTAGTACTGATTTTCAATACAAAACTTCCCAACGCATGTTCTTAGGTAGTTAGTTAGTTAGTTAGTTAGTTAGTTAGTTAGTTAGTTAGTAGTTAGTTAGTTAGTTAGTTAGTTAGTTAGTTAGTTAGTTAGTTAGTTAGTTAGTAGTTAGTTAGTTAGTTAGTTAGTTAGTTAGTTAGTAGTTAGTTAGTTAGTTAGTTAGTTAGTTAGTTAGTTAGTTAGTTAGTTAGTTAGTTAGTTAGTTAGTTAGTTAGTTAGTTAGTTAGTTAGTTAGTAGTTAGTTAGTTAGTTAGTTAGTTAGTTAGTAGTTAGTTAGTTAGTTAGTTAGTTAGTTAGTTAGTTAGTTAGTTAGTTAGTTAGTTAGTTAGTTAGTTAGTAGTTAGTTAGTAGTTAGTTAGTTAGTTAGTTAGGTAGTTAGTTAGTTAGTTAGTTAGTTAGTTAGTTAGTTAGTTAGTTAGTTAGTTAGTTAGTTAGTAGTTAGTAGTTAGTTAGTTAGTTAGTTAGTTAGTTAGTTAGTTAGTTAGTTAGTTAGTTAGTTAGTTAGTTAGTAGTTAGTTAGTTAGTTAGTAGTTAGTTAGTTAGTTAGTTAGTTAGTTAGTTAGTTAGTTAGTTAGTTAGTTAGTTAGTAGTTAGTTAGTTAGTTAGTTAGTTAGTTAGTTAGTTAGTTAGTTAGTTAGTTAGTTAGTTAGTTAGTTAGTTAGTTAGTTAGTTAGTTAGTTAGTTAGTTAGTTAGTTAGTTAGTTAGTTAGTTAGTTAGTTAGTTAGTTAGTTAGTTAGTTAGTTAGTTAGTTAGTTAGTTAGTTAGTTAGTTAGTTAGTAGTTAGTTAGTTAGTAGTTAGTTAGTTAGTTAGTTAGTTAGTTAGTTAGTTAGTAGTTAGTTAGTTAGTTAGTTAGTAGTTAGTTAGTTAGTTAGTTAGTTAGTTAGTAGTTAGTTAGTAGTTAGTTAGTTAGTTAGTTAGTTAGTTAGTTAGTTAGTTAGTTAGTTAGTTAGTTAGTTAGTTAGTTAGTTAGTTAGTTAGTTAGTTAGTTAGTTAGTTAGTTTAGTTAGTTAGTTAGTTAGTTAGTTAGTTAGTTAGTTAGGTTAGTAGTTAGTTAGTTAGTTAGTTAGTTAGTTAGTTAGTTTAGTTAGTTAGTTAGTTAGTAGTTAGTAGTTAGTTAGTTAGTTAGTTAGTTAGTTAGTTAGTAGTTAGTTAGTTAGTTAGTTAGTAGTAGTTAGTAGTTAGTAGTTAGTTAGTGTAGTTAGTTAGTTAGTTAGTTAGTTAGTTAGTTAGTTAGTTAGTTAGTTTACAAATTTAAAACATATCATATCTTCAATGTTTTTGTTAATCATTTTTATTCTCCATTATTTACTATTATTACGTTATTTAATTTAAATCCATTTAAATGAAATCATTTCCTTTCATAAATGTATGAAAATTTAAATTATTTGTTTCCGTTTTATTAAATTGAAAAAGAAAAACAGTTTATTGTTTATGTTGAGATATGAATAAAAAAATTAATACAAATAATTAATATTTAATTATAACATTGTTTATGAGTGTATATACAAATACATACAAATTCGCTTAAAGTACTATATGTGTTGTAACTTTTTTCCGTTCATAGAAAATAAATAATGTAAAAATATTTTTTGCCTAGCGCCCCTAACAACTAAAAGCATAATTCATAAATTTATAATTAATATTTTTTATTTCCCCAGAAATATTTGTTTTTCCTTCAATATTAAAAAATTAAATTTATTTATCACGTTTTTCATTATATTTGAAGAAATCTAAACCCTTTTTTGGTACTCCTACATAAAAAGAAAAATATTATAATAATTGAAAAAGGAAATGGTCTTACCTTTCATAATCTGGCAAAGGCATGTGGTGTTGTTGTTGTTGTTGCTGCTGCTGTGCTGTTTGTCCTGCTATCTGGGAATAATCCGGTAGTTGTTCCTTTGTTGTACATGATGTTGTATTGGCCTGACGCCATACGCCACCCGCTGGATCGATCCAAACACCACCGCCACCATTTGCATTTAATGGCAGAGTGGGGAACTTTCGCACAGCACCAATTGCGTGATTTCCTGAAATAAAATAAAAACATAAAATTAAATAAATTCATTTCACAAAAATAGAAATCTTAAAAAAAAACACATTTTTTATAATTTAACAATACTTTTTGTTGTGCTGAGCTTTTTATAGAAAATCGTTTTTTATTGTTTCTTATTTTTTAAGTTATTTCAACAAAACATCTTTAAATACAATATTAAAAAGCATTATTATTAATTTAGTTTTATTCATGTTTTGTTCTTTTTATGCATTTTGAAGGTGCTTAAAAATAAGGAAGACTATTTTCAGCGGTAATTATTTAGAATTTATTAATGTATCTACTTAAGTAGTCCCTTTTGTTTGCCAACTTAAGAAGTCCTTAATTTAGTCCTAAATATATTTGCTGTTATTATTGTTGTTTTCTTGTTGTTTAGATACCTATCGGCATTATTTTATTTGTTACGTTTTCTTCCTGTTGTTTATAATTGATGTGATTTTTACGTGTCCTTAAATAATTTACAAATTTCAGCTTTTTTTGTTTATTTGTTTATTGTGGGAGTTATCTTATCTTAATGTTGTTATATTTATTAGAATTTATTTTTAGTATCTAATATAATTAAACAATATTTCTGTTTTCGGAAATATGTTAAAGGTACTCCGAACAGGCATTAGACATTAATAGAACTGAACTAGAACTGTACACGAACTGAGCTAGAACTAGAACTGAACTAGAACTGAACTAGAACTGAGCTAGAACTGAACTAGAACTGAAACTAGAATTGAACTAGAACTGAACTAGAACTGTACTAGACTGATCTAGAACTGAACTAGAACTGAACTAGAATTGAACTAGAAACTGAACTGAACTGACTAGAACTGATCTAGAACTGAACTAGAAACTGAACTAGAACTGAACTAGAACTGAACTAAAACTGAACTAGAACTGAACTAGAACTGAAACTAGACTGATACTAGAACTGAACTAGAACTGAACTAGAACTGAACTAGAACTGAACTGAACTGAACTAGAACTGAACTAGAACTGAACTAGAACTGAACTAGAACTGAACTAGAACTGAACTAGAACTGAACTAGAACTGAACTAGAACTGAACTAGAACTGAACTTGAACTGAACTAGAACTGAACTAGAACTGAACTAGAACTGAACTAGAACTGAACTAGAACTGAACTAGAACTGAACTAGAACTGAACTAGAACTGAACTAGAACTGAACTAGAACTGAACTAGAACTGAACTAGAACTGAACTAGAACTCGAAACTAGAACTGAAAGCTAGAACTGAACTAAGAACTGAACTAGAACTGAACTAGAACTGAACTAGAACTGAACTAGAACTGAACTAGAACTGAACTAGAACTGAACTAGAACTGAACTGAACTAGAACTGAACTAGAACTGAACTAGAACTGAACTAGAACTGAACTAGAACTGAACTAGAACTGAACTAGAACTGAACTAGAACTGAACTAGAACTGAACTAGAACTGAACTAGAACTGAACTAGAACTGAACTAGAACTGAACGAACTGAACTAGAACTGAACTAAAACTGAACTAGAACTGAACTAGAACTGAACTAGAACTGAACTAGAACTGAACTAGAACTGAACTAGAACTGAACTAGAACTGAACTAGAACTGAATTAGAACTGAACTAGAACTGAACTAGAACTGAACTAGAACTGAACTAGAACTGAACTAGAACTGAACTAGAACTGAACTAGAACTGAACTAGAACTGAACTAGAACTGAACTAGAACTGAACTAGAACTGAACTAGAACTGAACTAGAACTGAACTAGAACTGAACTAGAACTGAACTAGAACTGAACTAGAACTGAACTAGAACTGAACTAGAACTGAACTAGAACTGAACTAGAACTGAACTAGAACTGAACTAGAACTGAACTAGAACTGAACTAGAACTGAACTAGAACTGAACTAGAACTGAACTAGAACTGAACTAGAACTGAACTAGAACTGAACTAGAACTGAACTAGAACTGAACTAGAACTGAACTAGAACTGAACTAGAACTGAACTAGAACTGAACTAGAACTGAACAAGAACTGAACTAGAACTGAACTAGAACTGAACTAGAACTGAACTAGAACTGAACTAGAACTGAACTAGAACTGAACTAGAACTGAACTAGAACTGAACTAGAACAGAACTAGAACTGAACTAGAACTGAACTAGAACTGAACTAGAACTGAACTAGAACTGAACTAGAACTGAACTAGAACTGAACTAGAACTGAACTAGAACTGAACTAGAACTGAACTAGAACTGAACTAGAACTGAACTAGAACTGAACTAGAACTGAACTAGAACTGAACTAGAACTGAACTAGAACTGAACTAGAACTGAACTAG